GGAAGGGCTTAATCAGCACCGGCCGGGGCTCCATGTCACCCTGGGGTGGCCACTAACAGGCTCTCAGCCCAAAGAAGTGGATTACAAGCTCCACAAGTCGAGTTTCAAAACCAGAATGGCTTTCCCTTAATTCCACTCCGAAAGGAGATCTGTCTCCTCCCTGGCTGTGGAGACAGAAATCACGGGGTAGCAGCTCTCCCCGGTTCTCCAGGGAGCTGCTCACTCTCATGCATTAACTCCAAAACCTGCTGATGCCTACGGAGAAAATATCGCCAGCACGGGCAGGGCACGGCCCAACAGTCACCCAACAGTCAACTATCTGAAGTGGAGGAATTTTGCATCATGAAATAAAGTTCTTGGTGTCTGATCACACCCACAAGCCCCATGAAGCACAAAGGATCGTAGGGTTTGGCTCAAGACAGACAGTTCGGGGCAACACAGTCAAGGGCAGCTGCCAGAAAGCGACCAGCCTGCATGGAAACCTGTGGAGAGACCCTAACTGCCCTCATGTAGAGGTCTGGGTACCTACGAGCGAAAAAGAACCACAAGAGGATTGGGGAAGCCTGGTATGTGAGGCAGCATCTGCTTCCAGGTAGCCCAGACTAGCCTCTTGCCTTCCTCAAGCACCTGAGGAGAGCCACTGGAGAGCCGGATGCTGACTGGAGCTCCCTGGGCAGGCTCTCACCACTGCCATTTCAGCAATTTCTCACACCAGTCAGGCTCCAGTGGTCTCTGGAGAGCCCCAGGGAGAAGCAGCCACATCACCAGCGCTCATGACAAGGCGACCCGCAGAGTGAGGAGGTGAAGGGAGCTGCCAGGCTGCAGGAGAGAGGCAAGCAGTGCGGCTGCTAGACAGTGATTGCATGTGACAAGCAGGACAAGTTCCTCCCCAGCTCCTGATGGGTCTGGCACTGCTCCCGTAAGAGGTTCCCAACTGCCTCGAGCTTGTCATGACAGAGGGAGAGGAGGAGGCACTCCAATGCTCTGCCAAGGGGTCACCCTGAACAGAGCCCAGCAGGACACCAAGGCGGGGCGTTCGTGGCAAGAGGAGGGGTCGCTGCCTGATGAGCTCTAGGCTCGGGGTTCTCCTTACCCGGCACTGATGGCCGTTGTCATCTCAACAGCAGTGGTCACCTTGGCTTTCACCGTCATGACGTTGAGGTTCATCAGGTAGTAGAAGGTCAGGTGAAGCACATTGTCGTCTGCACCAAGAGAAAAGGGGCAACGTTGCTGTCTGCTCTAGCTCGGAGCAGGGATTATCCGTACTCCTCCACTAGGATCACGGCAGGAAAGCTCCTCTGCACCACAAGCCCTCCCTGAGGACCCCAAGCTGCTGCCAGGTTGCTCCCCGCTCCGCTGTCCCTCACCCTCGTGCACTCTCTGCTAAGAAACCCCGTTTACCTTTGCACTTCAGGTCAACGGTGACAGACAAGGGGTGTCGCTTGAGCATCTCCTTGCGCTTGTCATCCAGCTGCACGCCCAGGGTGGGCCTGCGCCGCTTCTGGGGGCGTGTGAAATGGAGTCGTCAGACCTTTCTCCTCCCGCTGCTCAGTATTCCACAGCCCCCAGCCTCCTCTCCCGCTGCTCTTTCCTTCCCCAGCCCCCCAAGCCCTGGGGAGGGAGGGGAGGAGGAAACCCTTGAGCTGCTGCAGGGCAAGGACAAAGCAGCTCGTGTTCCCCTCGGCTTCCAGGAGTGTCTCTGCTCCTGTGGGATGGGGCCAAGGAACTGCTGGCCCCAAAAGCTTCCCTGATGTGAGGGGCAGGAGTCAAGACTCTTCCTTTTATCTTGACAAGGTGCTTTTGCTGGAGAGGAGTAGCAAGGATCTCCCACGGGCTTCCACGCTGGGGGCAGCCAGTGCCTACGGCCTCTCCTCAGCACCCAGCAGGGACAATTCTGTACCTA